TCGGACCGTCAAGTTGAAAGTAACGTCACGTTGGTGCTTCGGCAAAACGAACTTGGTATAGCGTACTTAGTTTGCACAGAAGCAACCGGAGCATCCACCCGTCATCCTGGCAGGCCAGGTCAAGGGTGAACAGGTTCCTGTAATACCAAGAATCGAACGTTATTCCAACCATGACGTCGTACAGGAATTCACTGATGCCGCTAACGACATGGTCCACTGACTGAGAATCACCAATTGGATTTGCGTGAAGGGTAGAACTGGAAAGCTTTTCGGTTAGTACGGACAATTTAAGTTGCTACTGCAGCATAAGTTTCAAATCGGCATACTCGTCTGCCATGGTTCGACGAGAGCACGGTCCCTATTCATGCACGTATTCAGGTGGTACGCCGAGTCCTCGTAAACTGACAACAATACACACACGATCGGGGGATTATAGACGCGAGCGAGACTTAGACGCATACGCAGCAGCCGGCACACACGATCACGTGACCACGCGACTCCCAACCACCCGCAAGAGCAGCCAAGCACATGAAGCGGACCTCTGAGAGTTCTTTGGCGACCCACAAAGATCGAATCACAGTTGGAGCAATGCTTCATTTTGTGGGTGGAATGAGTCATCACGTAGGGCTAGTGGTTTACGAAGGGAGATTGCCCACTTTAGCTACTGGTGTCTCGACTCCGAGTGGCTGGATCCCGCTACATTGTGGGCAAGCATTGAACTGTCTGTCTCACTATCTACGCACTGGAGTTTGTGGCGCATTTTTGCGGGGTAATTGGACGTGCCTGCAACAGTTAGGACCAGAGTGTAACTATGATCATAAACAAAACAACGACTCCAAACGGTTAGTGAGGTTGACGAAAGAACACACTATGACTTAACGTCAGCCAATAAGCGATACAAAACAAAGGTGCATTTCTGGCTTTTACATAAGCGTTCCTGGTTTCACATGCACTTTATCTCGAACCCACCCCATCTGTTCACGTCGCTGGTGGATTTGAGCTTTTCTACCGCTTCAAGCGTTAATGGCATCCGTCTTCTTATTAGCAGGACATTTTCTAAACCGATTGCTTCCTCTGTACCTGGCGTAAACTCCGATACCGCAGTCTCCTAGCAGAGCCATACACAGGTTTGCTCCTAAGTAATCGTAATATAACTCGCCTAGTTGTGAAATCGTAGTGCACGGTCCTCTTGCATATTAACCCATATGGGCATGTGTACATTCCTTGCACGGGATTTTGTAAAAACAGATATTTATTCTGTCTAAAAGAAAGGAATACTCCTAATGAGCCAGCGTCGATCGTGACTTTTGAGCTTACTGGAAGAGTACTGCTATTTCTTCGTTTATCAGTGCCCTTCTAAGCACCTAAAAAATTCTTTTTTATGCGGAATTTTTACTAACATAATTCATTCCCCGGTTAGGCTTCGACCGGCCTTAAGGCATTCCTGCATGTGACTTTTCCCCAGTGGTCTAGAATATCCGCTAACTAATAAATTTCTCATTTACTGTCTTTGGGCAACTATTCCTCCGCCGTGCAGACAGCACTAAATCTGTGAAACAATGTTGAAGTGATTTCCGCACTTACATGCTTTCGGTGTGTTACAGGAGCAATAAAAATAAACGTAGATTTGTGTGATGCTTCACTGACATTTGTTTAAACGGATGGTTCCGCTTGCTCAACTGGCTGTTCAGAGTCGTTATTTTTGGATGCGCATCACCATTCTACTCTAGTGCTAACGTTGTCATGTTCAGTTCCCTGTGTGCTTCTGAGTGACTCCTTACTTACTCAGACCTTACTGGCATTGTCTCTCCACAAGCTTTCCCTACAGCTTGGCTTTCACTTTTGTCGTGTAGCGCTCGGAGAAGCAAGAAGACTGGGCCGCCATCACGAAGTCATTTAGTAAGATTACGCGCAAATATTTATAGAGTATTTACACTACTTACAACAGTCCGTCTCAATGGCTCATCCCTGTTATTTGCATGGTGTCGCTGGCTCCCTTTCCCTTGATTTATGCTTCCCCGCCACGTTCACTCTGTCTAAAATCACCTTGACTTTCTTAGTGCATGTACGATTGGCGGGATTGGGCCCGCGCGCTTCTTCTCTCGGCCCAATGCTACAGGCCTTGGCTCAAGGTGGCAGGAGTGTGCGCTCCTTCGCCTGATGGCGCCTGATAGGTCACTTGCACGTTCAGTGAATAGTTGCTGGGTGGACGCGGGTACGTGCCAACTAGTTCGCAAGGAGAGAGTTCAAAGACAGGGGGAACAGTTGGTAGTCCATACCGATGCATGCAGTAAATATCTCCGTTCATACAGAAGAATAAGCATCACTTGCTAGCATGAGTAAAGTGTAGTACATCATTGAAGACAGGAGATACGCCTCCCTACTATTTAAAAGTACTTTTACTGTTTACCCAAATACACTATGCAAGTAAGTAGGTCCGTGCAGAGAGACCATAAGAAGGCTGTGTTGCACTTTGACTCAAAATCTAAGGTCGCTGCAATGGTTCAGTTTTGGATAAGTATAGACTCTGCAAGGAGTGGTGGTATTCTGGATACCAAAACAGGCCGCAGCTATTTCAAGCAACACGCCTTTAATCATACTAGCTCATGTCCGTGCACGCTCAAATAAAGGTACTCACAGAATCTGCCATGAGGCAAGTACAGAACCTGATCAGTATGAATGCGGGAAGTGTGTCGATTTGAGTTTACTTATGAGTACTGGAATTTTAACACAAACCAGAGAAACTCCGTCTTTTTAGACCGTTAGCAAGACCGCCTCGCACATACACTGGAAAATACCGGGTGGCGGTTTCTTCCTAACGAAACTCACCAAGTGGGTGCATTCTTCGGCCCACACGACAACAAAACCGGTGATCTCTCTATGAGTTTCAGTAAGACGAAGAGGCTCTCTATCGGGAAGTTGCCTGTGAAGAATTTTTTCTAGTTGACCTGAAGCAGATTTAGCTTTTTTGTTGTATCCACCCAATTCAAGCACCCCAGAATAAGTGAGCAGCTCATATAAATGCTATGGTTCAGACGTGTCCTCGAGTCTCTAGAAGAATCACAATTTCCATCCTCCGAGTTGCTTTCAAGTACGTGCACAACTTACTCAAATGATCACGTATTTTGGAATTGTATCTTCCTTCTTAACTTTACCACATGACCTATTTACACGCACATAATCTACAGCACATGATTCACACGCAGACGTTCGAAAAACCAATTGACCCCTATCCAAGAGTATACTGCGCGGCCAGGCACTTGATAGTCATGGTGTTTGTGAAAGTACTTTACACCTACCCACAACATGGACATACCTATATCGCACCAAGACGCATCAGACATAACTGGGCTACCGGACAACGACGCGCACATATTTATTCACGTGCTCCGTACTCGCCGCACACGTCGTCGCAACTTCACCGGATCCGACTTAGACTCACAACCATTATACACCAACATTTGGTACGTCCCTCTCTTTTATGTAGCACTGCTATTTGTGCAGGTGAGTTGAAACCAGAAGGTAAAAGCCTAGCAAAGCAGGGGGGGAGGGCCAAGCATTTGGGGGGGGGGGTTGAAAACAGGGGGATAAGTTTGAAGCTGGAACGAGAGACTCAGAGAGAAAAAGCTTAAGAGGGGGAATAAGAAGATGGGAAGACTTGAGCAGTAGCACCTAAACCCCTATCCACCCTGCTCGATGCAGCAGATAGGGCACCGTTGATTATCCTTTGCGGTGGCCAGAGCATCAGCAATTTGTTTGGGGAAGGATTCATTGTATTGCGTGGGCAGGATACTGTCAGGTTGCCCAAGCCTAGACAGAAGAACGATTAGGGTTCTCAACCAAAGTCTTTGGTTCAAAAACCTGACCACAAGGCAGCGGATTTGGCGTTTGGCTACGAGGAGTCCGTTTGGAGGGATAAGGAGCCACCTCATTCAAATCCCCAGCCTGGAAGACCAGGAGGCTGAATTTGTCTGACTCCTAACCATTGACCAATCTGGTATGATTGGCTCTGAAGATGCAAAAAAGCACCACCCAGCAAAGCTCAATGGATCGATAAGGCACACAAACCTTCGCACCACGGTAAGGTCCAGCCTCATCGCGATGGCCAACCTCATTGTACAAGCCACGTGTTACGCATGCCAGCCCACCCACTCCCGCGAAGTGCGTTGTTTGCTCACCGGGGGTGTGCATGTAAGAAGAGGAGAGATGGCCAAGCGATAACTTGGTCGAGAGGAATGAAGACCCTCACTTCTGAGCTGGCCTCAGTTGGAGCGTCTCGGCTCCCTCGTTGAGGTCCGAAACACTATCAACACGTTCGACTGGGTACACTTGTTGATAAGGCTAGGAGCCGACCTCAGTGGCGTTCGTGCTGTGTTTCATTTTCCCACCCCATGCCTCTTAGCCTCTCCTCCAACCACGATCTCATTATTTAACATTTTATAATATTGCATAGTAAACATTTTCTTTTTTCTGCTGCATAGCAGCCGGCAGGTGGCCAACCGGAACGATCCCCATCCGTTGCCGGTAGCTCAGCTGGCTTGCACCTGTTGCATTTTATTCCCTTCTTTCCTTTTAGCTATTGCGGCATAGTAGCTGAGATGTTTCCCACCTCCAGCTAACGTGTATAGTGCGTATATGTGTGCTATTTGTATAGTAGTATCATTCATATTTCTAAATGACCTGATTTTGTAGCTAGTATCGATTTAAGGAGCACTAATATTGTGCTTAAGCTGTACTTATATCTGTTTGACGGTCATTTTACGCCATTTTTTATCATTGAGAGGTAGCTACCTTGAGGATAAATACCGTTCTCGTCCAAACACATCGCGTAGTTCTGAGAGTAGTGTTTGGTTCGGCAACATTCCGTAAAAACAGTTGATCCCACTTTCCAGTTGCCTAATTACATGGTGAATCGAATAACACATTGTTTTCAATCAAGGAAGGATGGTACAAACGTTGAGGAAACAGTATATTGTTTGGTCAACAATGAGTTTGTTAAATCAAACCGCCAGTGGATATGGCGGTGCCGGATAGGAGAAATGTACGTGCTCTAGCCGCTTCCAGTAATCCTCGTGCAGAAGGAAAAAGGCTACATCGTAATGTCTTGGTAGCTGAATATAGGGAATAAACTCTGGAGGAGTTTTCCGCTTCACACCCCCAGTCGATAGCGAGACGTCATCGCTTTCAAGCTCACGCATTATCCTTCCAGCCTCGGTAATCCGGATCACTGTGAGCTCTGTTAAGAGGTCACGAAGTATCATTCGACGACGCCAGTCTTTTATCCGCTCAATAGACATCTGTTGTCGGTACACATTAAGACTTTCTCGGAGGAGACCAGCTAGAGAGCTTTTGCGTACCGAATCACGGATGTATACAGCCTCATCGCCGAAACGCTTTGCGATCGCTCGCACAATTCGCAGTGGAAGTACGAGGATCTGCAAAAGAAACGACAGCCGGATAACAAAGCTTTTCCGTCCAAATGCAATCGATTGTTGAAAGCAAAAGGTAAAGTGTTACGTTGGTTAAATGCTTTTACTAACTAACACACTATTCAAATCCGTTTTGTGAGCTTCCGATGATATGATCCGCAGTTGCATCCATCTGTTTAACCTTTCGTCTCCACTCTGCTAAGGATACATTTTGATGGAGCAAGCGGGCACAGATAACCTAAACCAACTCACCAGCTAATTTCCAGTGATGGTGAGGTCTAATTAAATTTTCGACCATCCAATTAAAACGATATCAAGCCAAAGAAACAGGCCGCATATATATTTGCAACGGTTTAGAAATAGACATAGAGCCATCATAAACCATGGAACACAAAAGAAGGTACAGAAATTGTAAAAGAAAACACAACACAACACATTAACGCCCATGGTTTCGTCAGAGGGCGTGATACTACCCAGTTGCCCAAGCCGAAGTAGGGTGTTGACTTAGGGGACACCACCCCGAGCCTTTGGCTGAATAGCCTGTCCGCAAGCCAGCTGAGCGAATGCAGGGAATCGCGCCCATTGGGAGCCGGTGACTGATTGCTCAGTTCATACGCCTTTCGTTTGTTCCTTTGTCAAACAGGGCCCCATACTTCCCAGACTTACAGTACAAAGTTCCTGGAATACAACGCTTCGTCAGGATGAACCAAGGGGAAGTGACTTTATTTAGTGGCGAGTCACGTCCGCCACGTCACAGTGTTGTTAAACGGACATATGTGGCTTTTTATAGGGAGAACGCTTGCCAGGCGAAAACCCACCACTTCCTGGAACACTGCCGCCGAACCAATTTCTGGAACGAGAAACTCCCGAACCACCCAGCTTGCACCGCGAGGAAGCAGTTCAACAAACCAGCCAAATGGGCCACACAAGGATAACCCTTTTCAGTTCTGGACTATGAAATCAAGTGAACAGCCTTGTAACTTAAGAGACTTGGACGCGTGCTTCGTATGTTCCCTCACTGCTTTTCAATGAGGACCTTCTTCTGTTTACTGGTTGTAGGTTGACGGTGGTAAACTGTTCCACTTAGTAGTGGAAACAGTCGCTGAGCTCTTCTTTTAATGTCTTTCATTACTCGCTCCTTAGAGTCTGCAGTCTACACCAACAACACTACACTTGGCACAAGACACTAAAGGGTATGGCTCATGAGCAGTACCAACGATGCGTTCACTGTCGTCTCCTGCTTACGACATCAGTGTAATGTCTTTGGAACATGGTTGATTACGGTGCTTTGAGATCATATCCGCAAGGAAACTGCCTCACCGATTTCGCCTTACGTTCGCGATGCAAGCAGCTCTGTAGGGAACTACGTGGTGGTCTCCAGGTGGAGACGCCTTGAGCCCGAATGTCTCACCTATCCATGGAATAATTTTTATTACCAAGGCGATTATGGATAGTCGCAATGAATTATCTACACACATCGCTGCTGCTGTTGCTGCTGCTGCTGCTTCCGTCAAAATTAGTATGTCCTTGGTGGTTTCGTGAACAGTGTAAGTTTTGTAGAAAATAGAAGCCGTGCATAAACTTTACACAATAATCTGCCTCGACGGGGAAGCGAACCCCGGAAATACGGATTACCTGTCCGCTGCTCTTCCAACTGAGCCACCGGGGACTGACGAGCAGGTGCGCAATTTAATACAGGACCTCTGCATGATTCACAGCGTATTGCCAATAAGCTCACAGTAGAGCAGCGGACGGTTAATTCGTATGTCAGAGTTTCAATTCCCCGTCGAGGCAGATTATTGTGCAAACTTTAATCGTGACCTCTACTTTCTACAAAATTTAGTAGTAGTAATCTTAGGTAAGTGCTACCCATAGTGGGAACCACGCTTTTCTGACAAACTTGTCGAGTTACGTTACTCATGTTTTTTCGCTTGTTAACTCTAAGGTTCCACCCGACCAGACTAGGTGACGTCAGAGTGTTCAAATCAAGAAGCGTGTGCATCTAACGAGTGCTTGCTCGCCTAATGATTCAGGGTACAGCCGGACGAAACTTCTATGCTATGCTACTTTCGTATACTTTCAAAAACCTTGGTTGATAGAGGTGAGGTGGCAAATGCTACCTTACTGATGGGCAAGATAAAAAAGCACTTTAGTGATTTCTATCGTTTTGGCTGACGTTGTCAAATTTGCGAATAATCCACGCGAAGCACGCATTTGTACCAATGAGATCGTCACCGCTGACAAGCTGGACTACATTCTGACTACTGAAACTAATTTACTCGCATACAAACCACTGGTGGTCTGCACGCATGAAAAATGTTACTTACGTAAGACATACATGGCTTAGTTTCGGCACTTGCGCGGATCGCAGAAAAGACCTGGCACTAAGAACGTCCATGGGAGTAACCAGCACAAATGAGACTGGACATTGTCGCCCAATAAACGAGTCGCGAATATCAAGGCAATTTCGATGTATTCATTTACATTCAAGGAACTAGAAGCCACGTAATTAGGGCGTGATCAGTGTGTAATTTGATTGAAACAATGATGAGTTTATAAGTGTGACAAAACGACCTCCAGTTGCGCGAACAATGTTAACCTGAGTGAGGACGGGGCTATCCAGTTCGGTGAAAAGCTTCATTACCTTGTGGGCTAAAACACCGGGTCTGCAAGTGGTAGCAGTGGGTGGATACTAGCCTACCGTCGTCAACATCCGCTTCTGAAAATACAAGTACCTCGGCCTCAGCCGCAAACTTTTATTAAAACCGTGCTGTGTAAGCTGAACCTGTCACCTGTCGGGACCGTCACTGTGGATAGCATAAGCTATATGATCCACGACGGCTGCGCTGGAGTTATGCTGATTGATAGGACTGTAGTGTTGCATTTTGCATGGGCCATCTTCGATGGTGTCCGGTTTGTCTAGCGTTGCACACACCCAGTATTATCACACTTATTCACCAGTAGAAGCAGGTACCGGCAGTTAACAGGCCGCTTCCCAATGTTGATAGTGTTGTATTGTTGCATAGCTTCTGTAGCGTTAGACCCGAACTCATCATACAGCTGCAGAATTAGTACGCGCTGATCAAAAATCACGTTGCGTGATTCCGGTTGCAGATGCGTCAAGGACGGGAGTCTATTCGGTTGTTCCATCGCTGAGACAGTGATCCGATATACAAATGGCAAGAATTGCCCTGCTTTGTCTATTAGGCTGACGAAGCGCTGTCCACCCATCTATCGTCCCAGTATGGGTCGACCTGCTAGGCCAGCCGGAAACGCACGTGTCACACGTTGCCAAATAGGCCTACCAAGTGCTCTGTCAACCTATCGATCGTTCCACTGGCTACTAGGCCTCCCTCCGTCCTTCGACGAGCAGCCACTCACCGTAGGTCTGTTCATCATTTCTTGCGCATGCACACCTAGAGGTAGAACTACATTAGTGGTCCACAGGCGCGCAAGTGCGTTTGTGAGCGTGATTTTGAAAATCACTCATTCATTATTAGATAACGGGAAAACTTGAAAATTTCTCTGGTAGCCGTGTATCCGCGCTTTAGTGCGGCCTTTAAATGTAATATTCGAGAAATGGGACCACATTTATCAAGCCTACTGTAGTTGAGTGCGAAGCGAATGTTGACAATATTGTCATCCATCGCACGTCGATAATTCGATGACTGACCCAGTGTTCTACCCCTTAGTGTAGTGGGGTGTACAAACTTCGTCCCATTGCTTAACTCAAAGAATGGTTTCATGTAACAGACCATGGTCTAACTACTGCATTGCGTATATCCCATGCGTGTACCCCCAAACTCGTTACAAAGATGCCTGCATAGCAACCATAGTTTTCGTAAGCAACTAATTTCAAAACTCACATGCCGCTTGCCTTGCGTCGGCAGTCATTGTGGCACACTTGATCCCTCTTCCAGCTTGTCAGACCATTGGCAAGTTCAAATAAAACTTAATGCGACCTTGGGGCATTCTCATGGGGAAAGAATAAGATCTTACCGTTATAGTTACTTTAGACACGAGGTAAAGTGCAGACAAGACTGCGTTCCTTCTTCGGATTGGCTGGAACAAGCCAGGAGGCCGCACCGGTTTGAAGAAAGCGAAGAAGATGATCGCCGTTAAAGCGGATCCAAAAATGGCCAGCATTATGGAGAGACATATGATGAGCAGTAGCTCCTCTTCAGCGAAACCGAGGTAGCGCAGTTCCTGTGGAAAATAGAATGGAGTCAGAATAAAGTTAGGGTGCGTTTTTGAAAAGCATGACTCAACCGCTATACGAAATGCAAATTAGACCCATTTAACATCTCTGAGTTCAGAGGTATTGAGTTGCGTACTTTATTTTTCTCTGCTTACCTTCAAAGTAAACTGGTTTACTTATGTGCCCCTTTCTCTTTCGTCATCCCGCATAATGCTTTACCAGCGCCGTAAGTGGTAGTGGGGATTATGGCGTTGATCATGCGCAGCGTTATACCGACCCATGTAAGGAGGACAACAGTGGCCAGCAGGAGCAGTAATATTGACATCGATGAAGAGCGCTGTTTATATGGCGCTCAGCTATGTAACAAAAATCAATCCAGTGAAATTCTCACACCTGACGCAGGCAACCACATCATGTAAACTTCTCATCCGTGCAAGCCAATGAGAAAGGTTCGGGTTAAATGCTTAGCAGACTGCCAGCAACGACTGTAAAGAAGTTATTAGTCATCAGAGCAAAATTGGTCCACGTCGGGAACATTTGGGTTCTGGCTGCCAAGTGGAATAATAAGGTAATGTGTTAAGGTAAATGATAAGTAACAGAAACCAAAGGATGGTTAGCAGTTAAGAACTTCTACATGTAATGTATGTGCATTTTCTGCCTATGTACCCAGCCGTGACTCTGTGTCTTGTATCTTCCTTCATTCACTCAACAACAGACGCAAGGTGGTTTGCGTACGGACTTGACCCTAGTCACGGCGCCTGGGCAAGTGTCTGTTCATAAGGACAAATTGGTACACCAGCAGTGCCCACCAGGTAGACATTGTGCGAATAAAAGGTTACTGTACAAATATATAAACAAACTCCGGACAGTGAAATGTTATTTCCCCCCACTCATCTCAGCAAGCAGGTGTTCAAACTGTGGGGAATCAATAAACAATGAGCAACGATGTATACTCGGCAAAAAGGCGAATTCTTGACATGTCCTGTAGCGCGACTGAAGTGAGGAGTTTAAGATAAAGTTGAAAATGACAGGAAAAATGTCAGCATTAAGATTCAACGCGGCTCCCCGAGTTATTCGCAAGAGCATATCTGATGGTCATTTCACCACTACGTAAGGTACGGAGGCTATGAGCACACTGATCTGCGTTATAACGTTTTTCGATGAAAACGGACTAAGTCACGTTATGTAAATAGGATACAGTGTACTGCAATCATTTTTAAAAGGCGTTAAAGTGTGACCAAAAATAACGTGAGAAGGAAGAACGTTCAACATTTTCGATACATGAACCGAGAGGAACTTTTATTGGCAATCGAGTCAACCGATGGTTTACCACATTCCGAAGAACCCAAAACCGCAAACTGCCGTCCGCTACTGGAATTGAACCACAAGCCACCTAAAACTATGAAGGTCACCCTCTGAAAACCGGACACATTCAGTACTAGCGGGCTTGAATAGCCGTTAGAAATTTCTTTTCTCTCCGCGTGTGCCAGCCTATAGGGAACCGCCCTCCCGTAATTATGTCGTCTATCTCCCAATCTGGCGTTATTTTGAACAACTTGCTCGGCCAAAGCATTTTCTCCCTTTTAATGGAGTTTTTAGCCAGACGGCTACCAATAACGCCACTCAAAGCTGTGTACTGTGACCAAACCGCTTAACCAATGGATTAATGGATTCATGCGTTTAATGCGCGAACATATCCGCTATTCTACATAAGTGTATGGTGAGTCCACCACAACGCTTTTCACTTTATCATGCAATTCACCTTTCGCAATAATTTCCATCCCACGGGAATTGTTAAGCAATGCATTTTTACCCATAATAAACCAGCGTTCCATTATTCCATTGTACTGGTGGCCTCTCACTTTCGTATTGTGGTTGACTTGCAACACATCGCGACAGGCCTGATTGGATTTAATCCTTATTTGGTATACCACAAAATCCCGTTGTGGGCACCGATATTCGCCGCATTACAATCGCAGGGCTTGTAGTCGACATTCTACGTCCTACGTGGTGGCGTTTCAAACGTAGCAAGCGTGGATTTTGCGCCGAGATCGCCACGCTTGGATCGCGTATTCCACATGAAGCCGCACGAACGTATTGAGCATTTGCGGGCAAATAGGTTGCTCGAACTTTCCTAACAACTTTCGTAAGAAGTCAAGGTGTTGGCTCGCTCTTCCTGATGCCTTTTCAGCTTGTTTCGGGAAGCAAAGGTCATCCTGCACTATTATCCCGGCATGCATTCCTATGTATCTTGTTGAAACTGTTGTTCTCCAAGCCTATGTTTACGAGTTTACGGATGGCGGATACATAAGACTTTTCATTCCACCAAGTAAAACTAGAGCAGGTTTCCGGAGGACCACGTACAGACTTTCGAGATCTCTTCATAATGTCCGGAGGTCATCCACTGTCTTGACCTCATGCCAGATCTCGACATCATCTGCAAATAATACTAAGTCTGACTAGATCACACTGACTAGATCGCTTACACTATTAATAAACGTGGTTTAAGAACTGTTCCTTTGGTAACAATACACCGAAGTTCAATTGGATTGGAGAGGAAGCTGCGGGCTCTAACATTCAGCTGAGTTTGCATCAGGAAGTTGCTTATCCAACCCAGTACAGTCACCGATTCCATAGCTTCGAAGCCTGTGTAGAAGGTACCGGCGTTTAATGCGATCGAACCATTTACTGTGGTTCAGGTAGACGGCGTCGACCCATAACCTAGTACCAACTGTTTCCGTCCAACTTGCTCAGATTAGCAAGAAATTTGTAGTACAAAAGTGGAATCCTTTTTGATGAGACACTATGATATACATATTTTCAAGGTAGCCTACAAACACCATTGCAATAATAACTTTTATAAATTTGCATAGCACCTGAAGGAAAGTTCCTGCGCCGCGTCAAATTCTTGGACGATACTTGGAACCTATCGAGTATTCATAAGTTCAGAAAGATTTGGAAACATTCGGTTGGTATAGTAGTTTCGTAATGTTTCGTCCTCGACAAAAGGGCTTCGTTAGACCAGGTGAATCGGTGTGCAAATGGGATGGGATTTTTTAGCGAACAGGAGAGATAACCGCCTTACCCGAGACTTGAGCCCTAAGGTCACTACAGTAGCCGTATGTGATGTCACCTGAGGTGGCGAACCTGTATACGGAAGACTCCGAGAACAGGACGTTAACAAATACCATTAACTCACCAAACATTTGGTGGCGTTATGTAGACACCATTGTACTTGTTAAACGGGATAAGAAAGACGAGTTGCTTGATCACTTAAACTCCATTGATGGAAGAATACAGTTTACTATTGAGTTGGAATCTTGTAGCGGCACAATACCATTTCTTGAATGCCTGGTTCGCAGGAATGGGGGAAATGTAAAAGCGACAATATCGCAAGTCAACGGATACTGACGGCGTACTCCACTACACATCGGGTCATCCGAAACAGGTTTACGCTGAGATAGCGTCAGCTCTGTTCTACAGGGCACAAAAATTGTGCACGATAGAGGATGACAAAAAGGCTACGCGGAAAGTGGCAATGAGCAAACTACTAGAAAGCGGTTACCCACGGCGGCTAGTCAAAAGCCAACTGCATAAAGCTACACCGGTAGTCAAGACCCACAGCCGAGCGGATAGGAACGGTCGGAATTCAGTACAAGGAAGGCACTTCGGAGACAATTCGGAGGGTACTAAACAAAGAAAATCTATGGGTGATTTTTCAGCGAGGTCGAACGTTATGTTCGGCACTGGTACACCTGAAGGACCCCGTTCTCAAGAATAGGAAGACTAACTGTGTTTACAAAATTAAATGTAACGACTGTGAACATGTGTTTATAGGCCATACAGCGAGAGCATTACACACACGAATTTCGGAGCACATGAGGCGCATTTAAAGACCACCAAGAAGCATTGAATACCAGGCAATAGTAAGAGACGCATCCGTAACTGTGCATGCATTAGACACGAGTCACCAGATAGACGTCGAAAACGTAGAGGTTATTAGGCGGGGTATACGATCAATACCTCAACAGTTGATTGTCGAGGCGGTGGAAATTGCCACATCTGACGACTGCGTGAATAGAATGGAGGGGTAGAACTCCCTAATGCTTGGTGGGCGGTCTTAAGCCAGCCAGCTTGACGAGCATCGGTGCGTGGATCAGATTGGAAAATGCAAACCGACTCCTATTGTCAACATTATGGGCTTATCCGTTAATGTCATGACGCACAAAGGAACACCTGGACTATTCCCACTGTGATTGAACCACCTGAGGTGACATCACGAACTATTACTGTAATGACCTCATGGCTCAAGTCTCGGGTAACGCGGTTATCGCCCCTGTTCGCTATAAAATCCCACACCATTTGCACACTGATTCACCTGGTCTGACGAAGTCCTTGTGTCGAGGGCGAAAGGTTACCAAACTACTATACCAACCGATTGTTTCCAAACCTCTCTGAACTCATGACTACTCGATCGGTTCCAAGTATCTTCCAAGAATTTGACACTGTTCATTAACTTTTTTGCTGTTAGCGCAGGACCATCTATTGTACGTGGAACTAGGACTCCGCGTTGCGCTCTGGGGCTTGTTGACGTGACCAGCGAGGGGCGCCCGATGACTACGCAGGTTCGAACCCGCGCCATTGGATTACAAGGCGGGCTTGTGGTCCGTAAAATTACAAGCCAGCAATTTCATCGTCAAGTTTTGTTAGTGTTTGAGTTTGTGCTCGCAATCCTAGTTGACACAAGGACTTCGCTGCATTATGTGGGCATCCCAGGCCTGTACACTTGGACTGGCTTCATAAGCATGTCTCGCAAAAACCCTTAAATCCATGCATTTTCCGGCCCGGATCCTCAGGAAGGACGTCATTTTCTTCGAGCAAATGACTTTGGGTTCAGGCGTATTTTCTATTAATCCAGTGGACTGGATTATAAATTCATACTAGACGAAGTCTAGAGGCTACTCTGCTAGGGAGTACCAATTGGATGTTTAATAGGGATCAAACAGTA